TGGGCCTGAGTTTTTTCATCAAACTGCACCCCATGCAATTCTGTATTCCCGACCAGTCTCCACGGAGTGGTCCTGTGCTGATCGGGGGGCAGATCGGCTGTCCTTGCTGTGTCCCAGGGCTCCTCTGGTGGGCCCTTCTCCCCCACCACCCGAGCTCCAAACACTTCCCATGGATGGGCCCTGTGCCAGTCCCTTGTGATGACTCACCAGTCCCTGAGTGGCTCCTTTTTCAGTTGTTCTGGCTCCTCGCTCCTGCATGGGTCCAGGGGAACCCTATTAGTGGTCTTGCTGTCCTGGGGGCCGCCAAGGACCTCTTCTCTCCTGCTGCCTCCAAGTAACTCCCTCTGAAGGGCACAGCTGCAGCTTCTGCCGGCTCCTTATAGGAATATATTCTAAGAAAAAGAATCATAAATGTACAGAAACACTTCTTATGTGGATGTTTATCACAAAGTTATTTTATAGTAATGAAAGATTGAAAACAACTTAAATGGTCAACAATTGAGGAATTATTTATTTGAGCATCCATATGATGGTATATTCTGTAGCCATTAAAAGTGTTTTAAGGGCCGGCCCGGTGGCGCATGCTACAGTGCGCCGCTTGGGAAGCGCAGCGGCGCTCCTGCCGAGGGTTCGGGTCCCACATACAGACCGGTTCCCACTCACTGGCTGAGCGAGGTGCGGGGGCAACACCGAGGGTTGCGATCCCGTTGCCGGTCCCGGTCCGGTACGGGCGCGACACTGAGGGTTGTGATCCGTTGCCGGTCACAAAAAAAGAGACAAAAAAAAAGGAAAAAAAGAAAAAAGTGTTTTAAAAAATTATTAATGAAATGTGGAAAAGTTTAGGATATAATATAGGCTCCACTCTTTAGAGGCAAGGACCTAATTGTCCTTGACTCAATGATTTGTTCAATAAGTCAAAAGTCAGTAATACCAGAAACTAGTAGTGTGGTCAAATTAACAATGACCAACTTGTACAAGGCTGCTAACTTTGCTTCCTGAACAGAATGCTAGAAATTCATAAACAAGATTGGCATTTACTCTTTTTCCTTGCTCATTTTGTTTTCTAAGATGAGGGACATAACAGAAATTTTAAAATTCTCTGTACAGATAAGGGCCCATCAAACATTTTTTGCAATGACACAGCAGGGAAAAAAGCAGCATCCTTGACCTGGTGGTGCATCCATTCTAGTTGCAGATGCATCCTTTCTGGACTGTGGGGTGTGATTACCACATTATTGTTGTTGCAGGTGAGACTGAAAAGCCTTGTGTCCTTGAGCTGATGGATGACGTCCTCTATGAGGACCTGGAGGAGCTCCGCCTGGTACTCGGCACTCCACAAAGCAACTCTCCTTTTGGGGCGGCAGTTGGTGAACTAAATGAAACTCTGATAAGGATCCGAGATGACGCTGATAGTAAGAAGTCATCTCCTGTGCTCAGCTGTGAATTGGCACCTGAAATCCATCCATGTTGAAGTTTTAGGTGGCTCAGAAAATAACCCCCTCTTTCTGACTAGGGTTTCAAAAAATTGAGAAATAGGAAAAAGACTAAGACAAATGGGGAACAAAATAAACCATTAAAACTGATAAAGTTTGATGTTAGAGGATATGGCTTATATCTACATACTGAATTTGAAACATTCATACCTGCCCCACCCCCTTAACCTTGAGTACAGGTAGTCCTGGGCCGACAGTTTCCTCCTCTCCCCCTTTCGGTGGCCTGCTGCTATGTAATTAATGCACACGGGGACAGCCCAGAGCACATGCTGTCTGGGGGCTGGTTAATTTTGGGAAGGAGCTTGGGTAGAGAGTCAGCTTCTCCTTCTATGCTCACCACCAATATTGAGTAAGGGGATGCAGAAGCCAGAAGTGTACAGAAGCCACATGGAAAGAAACATTAGACATGGGGAAAAGGCATTTCCCTTATTAACAATTTGCTTTGTCTTTGTTTCCCACAATTTTAGAGAGTGTTATTAAATTTGGAGAAACCAAGTTTAGCGTCACTGAACCCAAAGAGCCAGGAGAGTCAGTGGTTATAAAAATTCCAGTGATTCGCCAAGGAGACACTTCGAAGGTTTCCATTGTGAGAGTCCACACCAAGGACGGGTCAGCCACCTCAGGAGAGGACTATCACCCTGTGTCGGAAGGTACGGGGCTCCAGGGCCTGTCTCCTGACTAGTCATGTCAAGGCTGTGTGTGAGCACTGGTGCCCTTGAGGAGAAGAAGAGAAACATCCCATTGAAATAAAAATAGACACATGGTTACATTCATCTTCTTCAGAAAAACAAGGAAAATGGAATTTATTTCTACAATTTTTCTTCTGGGCTTACAGGGTATATATGTTAGAGCTTAGGGAAATTTTGAGTAGATGTGCTAGATGACCTTCTATTTTGAGTCTACTTTAACTTTCTACTGGTTTTACCTTTGTTATAGTAATGAGATATTAAATAATAATTTTCCTGTAATTTTCTATTACATAGAAAATGTGCATATAACTGTGATGATCATCTATTTTAGTTTAGCAAACACCAGCAATCCAAAACTAAAGCTAAAAATTTAGTTTTATGAGTAATTAAAACAAATCAGTTCTCTCTCCCTCTCTCTCTCTCTCTCTCTCTCTCTCTCTCTCTCTCTCTCC